AATTTTACGTTTATAATCGTAGCAACAGACCTCAGATGAGCCCAGACGCTCTGCGGCTCTTGTTGTGAATGTACCGCGTTCATATTATTCTCAGTTTTTATTAACTTAGTCCCAAGTGCCTGTGGCGAAAACATATTGCAGGGGTACCAAACTATCCTTAAGCCGCTGTAGCGGTATGCCAGTATAATGATCTGACATCTCCATCAAGAAAAGGCTGTTTTATTCACACGAAAGTGATTTTGCAGATAAGAAATTTATGTTTTGTACTGGATGGCATTTATCTTATTCGTTTGGTGGTTGGTAAAACATAAAGTATTTTGGCTGTGCTGATGAGCATCTTTATTATAATGTCTATTGCACCCTGTTTATTGTTTTTTAACTCAGAATAATAATTTTAATCTTAATTGTCATTCCAAAGGATGTGTTTTAAAACAGTTATTAAATTGTACACTTGTCTTCTATAACATAATTTATAGGCAGTGGATATTGAACCGTAAACGGCAGAGTATCCTCTTCCGCTATTTTACCATACACCAATTTGATTGGCTAGTATATTTATGAGGTCATCAGCATTACGTTCGAATCCCATAAGGTTTAGCTATCTAGAAAACATCTAGACGTTCGCACCTTTTTGTGAGTGAAACGATACCCGTCCGCGAAGCGGACTACTTACACCGAGACAGCGATCACTGCTCAATATACACTGGCAGCAAGAACCAGTCCGCACCTGCAGCTACAGCACACACGCGGCCATTGACTATATATATACTATTGTAGTATATATATCAGGAGTAGATAATAGGGAAGGAGTGTGACATCAATAAACAAGGGAAATTCGTCATTTACTAGCCTTATAATACCTACGATTTACTACACGTAACTCATCCAACTTGAGCTCAAATCGGACACAGTACATTCGCCTAGCATCGTGTGAAATCATTTCCTCGTATACAGCCGCAATCCGGAGATACAGACTAAAACGTACGACACGATTCTCCATTCTTTGGCCATCAATCCAAAGCCATTGCGCGCCTCTAATTCAAACAAAAGGCAGCTACCTAACGCGCTATTGCTAACTCGGCGAGGCATGTGGCTCGCTGGGAGATTAGGCATCAACACTCGGCGAGATAACCTTTGACCCGGTACACAGCTACACAGGCATACCGGCGTACAGCAGCCACCTCTGCACATACCTGGCATGCCTTCACGCACGCACGCCAACCGCAATCAGCAGCAGCTGATCGGACTCAAATCTCCCAGCGAGCCACATTGCCCGCCGAGTTAGCAAGCTGTGGTTAGGTAGCTGCCTTTTGTTTTAATAGAGGCGGGCAATGGGCTTGGATTGATGGCCAAAAAATGGATAATCGTGTCGTACGTTTTAGTCTGTATCTCCGGATTGCTTGTGTAAACGAGGAAACGATTTCGCACGATGCTAGGCGAATGTACTGTGTACGATTTGAGCTCAAGTTGGATGAGTTACGCGTAGTAAATCGTAGGTATTTTAAGGCTAGTAAATGACGAATTTCCCTTGTTTATTGATGTCACACTCCTTCCCTATTATCTACTCCTGATATATATAGTCAATGGCCGCGTGTGTGCTGTAGCTGCAGGTGCGGACTGGTTCTTACTGCCAGTGGCTCAATACAAATTCTCCTATTTATGTCGATTGTTCGAAAAGTGGTTAAGTTTGGTAATCGAACAGTTCGAAGCAAACTTTTGTGTTTATCCGATATGGTATATAAATAGAAGATCACAAGCTGTACTTCGTTAAATTTCGTGCACTTATTGTGAAAATGAAAATACAAATAGAACTATTTCATCTATCTTGAGTGAGCGGAAGAATCCATGTTAAATGTGAAAATAGACCTAGAATGTTTCCAAGCCCTTGTCACAAGCTCGATAGACATGCAGCGAACTGCAGCGTACCAGTCTATGTTTACGTCAGTGCACGTACTGCTACAGGGTCGTGCTGCGCAATGCGTAGTGGGAAGACAATATGTCAGCCCGCATGTCACTGAATTTACCGCTGTTAATTCGATATAAATTTCAACAGACGCAGCCTTATTTACTCCGAAATATATTCAATAATATGCCACTTATTATATGCGAAAATATACTTAGCCTAATACATAGGCCTATATAGTCCTTTGTCAATTACAATAATATGAAATATGGCATACCCTTGGCGAGCGTCATTAGACATTACTGACATTAGTCAATACATTACCTCAGTCTCTGACTTTTGCATAGAAGTAGATTTATACATGTTTACATTTCTTTCTATGGACTTATATAATATATTACTAAACCGGTCTCCATGGCGTGTGATAGCAAGTGGAACCGTACGTACTGTATTTGTTCAAGTTTGAAATAAAATCACATTTAACTAAGATTTGCCCAATATAGAATGTGTGTAAACTTCATTTATACATGCAGAACAAATACATGTTAATTTTGTTATTTGTTCAATTTTGTTGTTTGTTACTAAGTTGATAAATGGATAAATGGAATTAACCATGCACGGGCACCGCCCCGTCTGTGACACGGCCTTTGGCAGGCTTCGTTAACGAGTGCAAATGCTTAGTGGACTCTACTAGTACTGTTCATCAAGGCGCAGCGGACTGGGAAATAAGGGACAGCTGCGTGAAATAGACTATATATACTGCAGCGGTTCGTACATGCCACCCTGAGGAGGAACACTTTCTGTCACCAAGTCTTTTCTTTGGATCCGTGCGCTGGCTTTCATTATGGCGCACAGATCCACCATGTTATCTTTTCTTTTCCCTCTGCTGCGCGCACTTCTCTTCTATGCGCGGCCAGTGCTCCATATTTGGCCATCTTCCATATCATTTCAGTTACACTTGCATCACTTCCACTGGGTTTAAATTCCATTTATTTCTACACATTTGTAGCCCCGTTTGATCATAGAAGCTATTTTCCGTGAATCACGTTTCCAATACGAAACCTTTTGAACACATTCATAATATACTAACATACATATATATACACTTACATAAATGTACTAGTTAGCCAATCAGAAGTACTGTACGGTAAAATAGCGGAAGTGGATACTCTGCCGTATACGGTTAAATATCCAGTGTGTAATTTATATTTATTTTATCACCTCTCTATTAGAGTTGTAACTTGGTCTATGTTTCTCTCCTACAAACAGCTGCTGTAGTGACACATTCTGATTACGTGAACACCCGAGGTAGCCCTGATCCGTGTGAGCAAGATGAAGTGTGAAGTCAACCGTTCCTTCTTACCAATAAAGTTCTACTTCCTCACATTTTATGCAGGTAAGGTTTGGTAAGGTAATTTTAATGCATGATTCTGACAGAGGCAAGATTTTTGCAATCATCACTAAAATTTATGCATGATTTCTTTTATCAAAACAATTTATTGTCAATCAATGCAGTAACTATCTACATATCTATAATTCATGAGTTTTTTTATTTTGAGATTTGCCCAGTATTTCATAGGATATAGGTGCAAAGAAACAATGACCATACAATTAACGTGACACTCTTGGAATATATCATTCTGTATATAACATGTTCTTATGGAGTTAAAATTGTTTGTATTAATACGAGTGAAGTATTGTTGGAATTGAACACTAACTAACTAGACACTGTACAGCGAGAATAAGAAAAAGGTAACTGTAAGTGAATGATATGCCTATGACAAGCTATTTACTTTCACATGTAGCCAGTGAAAAAATTTAATATCTATAACTGTTAACTACTGTTTACACGTACTGTTTGTGCATTTTTAGGGTGTGCTTGCTTGGTACCATTCTTGGCCATCTATTTGAAAGAGCAGGGATGGAATCCTCTAGAAGTAGCCATAATCTACACAGTGGTGCCGTTTGCAAGTGTGCTAACCAAGCCTATCATTGGTGGTATAGCTGACTATCTTAAGCAGCATAAATATGTGCTTCTTATTTGTGTTATGTTGATGGCGACGTTTTTCTTGGCAATCGCATTTGTTCCACCTGTAGAAGGTTACATCTACCATCATGAAGTTGTTCCTGAGTGCTTTGGTGGCAAGGTAACTGTATTACGTCTGTGTGACCCTTGCGAGTTCATTCCTCAACAAATACCAGGCATGTGTGACATCACCTGCACAGCAATCGCTAGTGGTGCTAACATATCGATGAATTCTAATGATTTCCCACACATGGCCCTCGGGCAACCTCATGATTTCAAATCGGACGAAGTCACTAATTTTACTGACCCACATGAAAAGGATATGGAAATTCTCAGCGAAGGAAATAATACCAATGCAACCACAGTTATGAACTGCATTAGCTATGACGTGATGCTAGCAGATGATGCACATGGTGATTTAAATGATCTGTGCCAGAGTCACTGTTCAGTACATTGCAGAAGCGACCCATTTGTTTGCACACCAGGTACCCCATATCATCACGTACGATTAGTGTGGAAGTTCTGGGTTCTACTATTTTTGTATATAATGTCACGTGTATTTTTCTCTTCAAATGTATCCATGTTAGACATGATTACCTTCACAGTGCTTAAGGATAGGCCTAATGTCTACGGCAAGCAGAAATTGTGGGGCACGTTTGGCTGGGGTGTAATGGCATCCGTGACAGGCTTTCTTATGTTGGAATTCCGAGTACCAGGCGAACGAATGAATTTCCAACCTGCGTTTTACTTGTTTCTCACTCTGATGGCTGTGACGTGTGTTGTTAACATGGCAATTAATGTGAAAGTAGAACACTATTCGGAGAACATTTTAAAAGATATCTGGAAGATTACCAAAAATAGGGCTGTCCTGGCATTTCTCTTTGCCGTTTTCTGTTTTGGACTTCAGTTTGGAGCCCTTATTACGTTTAGTCTGTGGTATCTTGGTGACCTTGGTGCGTCCGAACTTTTGTATGGGTTGGATTTGACGGCAGAGACGCTTATCGAAATGCCGTTTTATTTTCTGGCTGGTTGGGTTATCAAACGACTAGGACATGTAAAGTGCTTGTATGTGGGTTTCATTGCCTATACTGTCAGGTTTATCATATTCTCCTACATTGTGAATCCCTGGTGGACGTTAGCTCTGAATCTATTCCATGGTCTCTCGTTTGGGCTGGTATATACAACTATGGTTTCTTATAGTAACATAATTGCTCCTAAAGGCACAGCTGCTACAATGCAAGGACTGGTCGGAGGAATCTTCGATGGAGTAGGTAAGCCATTACAATGTTGATTAGTGAATACACTGGTTACCTCTGTTTTTATTGTGACGACTTCATACGAGTACGTAAAAGGGAGTCTTTTTCACTGACAAATTTTCACTGACGTCACTTCACACTGATATTTTGGGAATGAATATACCAAGATTGTTGGTAAACAATTAAAAAGAATCTACATTTTCAAAGTACAACTTAAAGACATTGTTTTTACAGGATTTCAGAACAATTTTGGCCTACAATTTAATCATACTGAATTGGATAATCTACCAATATATGTTTGACTTGCCTCTACAAGAAAGTATTGTTGTGTACTCGATGTAAATGAAGTTGAATTATTCGAGTGATTGTATATTGTGTTAATGTTTTCTTTGCAGGTTGTGGGTTTGGAAGCCTGCTTGGTGGCTTCATCTATGAGTCGTATGGTGGAGCCGTAACCTTCCGGTGCTTTGGAGTCCTAGCCTTGGTCAGTTGTATTCTATATTGGTTTGCAAACTGTTTTATCACGTCCACTGAGAGCAAAGATGAAAAAGATGAAACTGAAGGAAGTAATGAATTGACTCTTACCCTTAACACGCAAGAGGATGTTGTTAAGGAGTAATGAAAACCCGTTTGGCAGAGGCTACCCGATAAATCAACTCACGGGCAAAATATTTAGGAGTGATTATGTTTGCGGGCACGCATGTGTATCAAAAATAGTGTGACGGTCTGCTTAGTGTAGATAACAGTCAGTCAAGACCACAGCAATCAATTGACCTATCCATCTGGCAGCTGTAGCCAGCAGATGCCATTGTTGTGATGGGATTTCCTAAAAACAATGTTTACTATTCACTTGCCTCTAAGTTGATAATTTGGCATGTAGCACATGCAAGTTGGTGATAGTTTAATTGACCTATCATCATTATCTGGGTTGGGGGCACGGTAATCTAGCTTGGTCTATTGTGTGACATTGTGTGGATATCTCGATAGTACCGGCTAATGTGCTTGTATGCGTGTGCTGTGTCGTATTTTACACCTGGATCGTTATAGATTCCTTCGTAATAGCCTTGCCTCGGCTTCCCCCTACATGACCGGTGATTGGTCGGCACTTTTAAGATGGGGAAGTCCTGTGCTCGCAAATGGCATTTCCCAAGCTGCCCACATGCGGAGAACATGGCTTCAAGGGGGCGGGGAAACCACGGTTTAGGTGAGGCCTGACGCACATGGCTAATTGCTGCCACTCGCGGCATGCTCTGACCTTCAGCTGCTGTATAAAGGCCATGCGCTAAATCCTGAAATGTGGTTAGAAATTGAAACGTGTAGCTACCCCACCGAAAGCCGTCGGAATTTCTCGGTGAAATTAAAGCTTGTTGTTTGTTGTCATCTCCAACATGCGGAGATGATCATCTCTTGATGGTGTAACATATCCAAATAGTTATCCTATAATGCACATGCATGTATACATGTATGTAGATGATGTCTATGCATAGGCCTGCCTTGCGAGCTTCCTCAGAGAACAAATCTACGCCATATTACCATTCTCTAGTTGGATGTGTTGTTGGTAGCTATACTTATAGCCGTGTTAGTGATATGAGTACTGGTGCTGGTACTGTCTTCAGTACAGGCTGACTTCATATTTATGAATCTGATATAGAAATACTCAGTTCGGTCAAGAATGTTATCATCCAGTTAACTGTTACATAAAATGTATTTTAATTTAGAGTATACTTATGACTTTACAAGTAGGAATATAATAGAACAAGCTGGTGCAATTTTTATTGATATAATATGTTTGTTATGTTTAGCAGTCGATCAACAACGTATCTGTACCGTAACCAGTTACATAATCTCGCTAAAAATCAAAGTCGTAATCGGCTATGAATTTAGTTTTTACTGTGTTTTCACATGTATTATTATACGTGCATATATTTTGATGTATTTTCTTATGTATAATTGTATATGTAAATACGTGTATATTTATATACATTTGCTGTGTTACACTTCTCTCATTATATGAATCTTAATTTGTAATCACCACAAAGGTTATGCAAAGTATGTTGGAGACTATCTAATAATCTAATCTCATAATAAGATGTAATATATTATATCGGGAGTAAATGAGCTGAAATCTATAGGTCATTCACTCATGACATGATTATATAATAAGGTCCAATGTGCTAATTGTTGGATGCACGTAATCATTTTGCGCAATCCGGAGTTGAGTTGAGTGGGAGTTATTATGATGAGAATTTGATCAGGAAAACGGTAATTATCCCACTTTTTACTGTCTTCGTTATCCAGACGTTTACAGAAATTCATGCCTTTAGGTTGTGTCGCTGCTAAGAAATGCACATGTCTCATCATGTAATGTTTCTTGCTCGTGGCTGGATTGTCTGCATATTGCGCGCATCTGTGTATTGCTTCTAATTCTATGATGTATATATGTATGGGAGGGGATATGTGTCAAAATTTCAACGTTCAATTGATCGATTGATTGTTCAATTGAACATTCGTTTAATCATTCAAACGTTTAATTGATCGATTGATTGTTGAATGCTGAATTGCTGAATTGAATGCTGAATTGATTGATTGAAGGTCGCAATCAAACGAAGAAAGAAAACGGAGAAGAAAACGGATTTAATCATTTATGCTGTTGTGTTTGTTCCGATATGGATGCAGTTAAGTTGAGGTTAGACGTTATCTATAAATGTTAGTGTAATAGCGCCCTTTTAGATTCATTACTTGTGTAGACTGTAGTCTCATTGTCATTTATCCCAACCGGGCTCTACAACTGTTTCACGTATGTAGCCTGTAGGACGTATTTCGTGACATTTCGTTTTCATTTTGCATACCCCGCCGCATACGCAATTTGGCAATTGCTCAATTGTCTATTCCATGATTCAAGACGCCTATTCAGTATTCGTGCCTTTGATTTGTCAATTGGCCATTCAATTTGGCAATTCGTTATTTAATTGCTCAGTTGTCCGTTTCATGATTAACTAAAGTATAACACATTTGAGTAGTAAATTGAAGTATTAAGTGATTAAACGAGTTTTTAATTGAACAGAGTGGCTATATGCCCGGCAGCCGGCATATTATATCTGACGGCTGCCGGGCACGGTCTTCGATTTCCTATATGCCCGGCAGTTTTTAATTTTCAGCGTTATCGGAAGTAAACAAGGGTTAGGGTTAGGGTTAGGAACTGCCGGGCATTTAGGAAATGGAAGACCGTGCCCGGCTGCCGGGCATATAGCCACAGCGTTAATTGAACGATCAATCGATTAATTGAAGTATTGAATGATTAAAGGACTGTTCAATTGAACAATCAATCGATCAATTGAACGTTTGAATGATTAAATGACTGTTCAATTGAACAATCAATCGATCAATTGAACGTTTGAATGATTAAATGACTGTTCAATTGAACAATCAATCGATCAATTGAACGTTTGAATTTTGACACATCCCCTCCCATATATATGTGTCCATCCATCTATGGTCGTGTGCGCGCACACACAAAGGTTTGCGTGTGCACACGTATACACTTACTCAGCGATCGTTTTGAAACCTTGAAGTAGCTGTGCTTAATATTTCTAGTCCTTTCAGTTTGTCATCGATCGTTGATATATATTTATATATTGATATATATATTGATATATATCAAGAGTAGATAATAACATGTGTTATTATCTACTCTTGATATATATATATATCGTTGATATATATCTTATTAGCAAAACAGAATCCTGCCTGAAATGCGAAGGAATGTTGTAATGACCTTGGTAGACGTACTGTTTTTTAGTATAAATAACGCATGCAATGCATAGCTAGAATGTTTATAGTGTTGAACGCTTGTAACATAAAATAATGTGTGTGGCCCGTTTAGAATTGTTACAGTAATCTCGACTAGTTATCGGTGTAACTGAAGTATATATAGATTTGTTCGATGCGGTATAGCATAAAGCGTGAGATGTTCGTCTATGTTCTACGTTATATTAACACTAGCGTTAAAAACTCGTTTTTTTAATCACTCGCGATTCTTTCTGGCGAATTTCGTTTTTCTTGGATTCTTGGACATTTTAGTAATCTGGCTTGCTTTGGTAGTTTAATAAAAAAAACTACTGAGAAATGGAAACACGCCCGAATATTTACGGTGAACTGAGATTTGGCGGTACGCCATCAGGAATCTCCTGTAGGTCTTTCATTAATGAGCTCGCTTGTAGAAGAGAGGCCACTATTTATCATGCCTCAAGCTATACATCGTTATACACTGTTATTAACATGGAAACGTAACCATTATACATATATATATTTTCGTCTAATTAGTAAAAGTAATTACTTATTAAAGATATATATATATATATATATATATATATTACCAACGTAACGTATTTTGTTCTGTGTTGCTTAATTATTTGTTACATGCCTAATTATGGTTACCAAATCTTATCGAGCCGTCGTAACGCAACGTCAGTCAAAGATTCAAGGCGGTATGAAATGTAAATCTCGGCATAACACCATGCAGTGTAGTCTCTTTATTGCAGTACACGCGGATGGTATAATTTAGTCCCATAGTTCGTGGTGTACCTAAGCTCTTATATCTCTTGCTGTGTGCTTACCTTATCTCACGCGTTGTGCTCCCATCTCAACGCTGTTGTGGTTAAACTCATCTCGTGGGTGCTCTGCTTGATCTCCCATCTCATGTGCTTAGTTTGAACTCCCATCTCACGTGCTTAGCTTGAACTCCCATCACACGTGCTTAGCTTGAACTCCCATCTCACGTTTACTGTGCTTAAACTCCCTCGATCACGGGCTTAGATTGAACTCCCATCTCACGTGTGCTATGCTTAAACTCCCTCACGGGCTTAGCTTGAACTCCCATCTCACGTGTGCTTAGATTGAACTCCCATCTCACGTGTGCTATGCTTGAACTCCCTCACGGGCTTGGCTTGAATTCCCATCTCACGTGCTTAGATTGAACTCTCATGTTACGTGTGCTATGCTTAAACTCCCTCACGGGCTTAGCTTGAACTCCCATCTCACGTGCTTAGATTGAACTCTCATGTCACGTGTGCTATGCTTGAACTCCATCTCCACGGATGTAAATCAAAACACTGAAATTATGAATTACCCCACATAACAACGATGATGTAGACAAACCTATACAGAAACAATATATAAGATGACATAGATGCTATAATACCATCAATTACAGTGATATATAATACGCTATAGAATCCCATCTCACTTTTTTGTACAGTTTTAGCGTTCTCAGTAAAATATGTTTTATCAAATTTTCAGAGGAAGATGATTTCCAGTGATGTAGTTGTGGGAGGTTGCGTGTTATTAAACCTCTGGGAGCCAAAGAAAAAAATAACTATAGAATTCACAAATATTGCACTTACAATTTCTTTTTCAATTCCTTCAAAAACGGCCACCTTGAAGGTTCTAAATTGCTAAAATCCAAGAGCTTCCGGGTGCTCCGCCCCCTGGACCCCGGGCAATGACTCTGCCCCTGCACCTGGCAAGGGGCCCTAACGCGCAGGCGGGCCCCTCGACCCCACCCATTAAGGTACTCGCGGTGTGCGCTACGCGCACACATTCTTCGTATACGTTGTGATGGAAGTAACAGCGAAATCATTCCCCCCCACAACTGAGTACCTGTCTACGCCACTGGTTGAGGCACACCCAGACGTACCTCGTCCACACACATATGCTTGTTATAAGTAACATAAATACGTTAAAAAACATAATATGTCGCGACATACACCCGCACGTTTGTACGCGCTCGCCACACCCAGACCCCCCTTTCTCGATCCTTCTCCCCCCCCCCTTTTATACGTATCTACTTATGCCATGCTGTCACGGCTTAGCGGAACGGTAGTATCGGAAACGAAGACCTCGAAAACGAAGACCTAAGACCTAAGACCTCGAAAACAAAGACCTAAGACCTAAGACCTCAAAAACAAAGACCTCGAAAAATATACTAAAGCACTAAAAATCTTCGTTAATTGGTGTTTCGCAAACATTGTCTACCATATCCGCAAATAATAGCAGGGTCTTCGTTTTCGAGATTACCCCCCCCCCCAAAAAAAAATCTCGAAAACAAACACCCCCATTTTTTTAGCCGAATTAATGACTATCAATGTAGACAACACTAGAATTAAAGGCATTTATAACAGTGGGAGACGAGATAATTTTTCGCAAGAAAACAGGCAACCCATGCACAGTTTATTTGGAACAACAACCATTTAGTCAAGTTCACTATGTCCAGATATTAAGTTTCGTGAACTTTTTGGGGGGATTTGCGAACCTAGACATTTTCGGAATCTGTATAGTATAGGAAATCAGAAAACCAATGTTTACAATTTGCCAGAAGCATGCATGGTGCTGATGCTGATGTGGGATGCTGATGTTCCCGGAGAGCTGATAGCACCACCTCTGATCATAGGTGATGCACAAAGTTTATCGGTCACCCCATACAAAGTAGATGTGCTGCACTGTGACAAGCCCAAGCCGCAGCCAACCCAGAGGACAGAGGACTTCACCATCAACGAGGTGGGAGTCTCTGGCTCATATCAGCTGACACAGCTGGGATGGGTTGACGCCTCTTTTCTATCCAGGATGAAAGACGGCAGACATTCCAGCCAAATCCCTGGTTGGGCAGGCTACAACTCACTGCTGTCTACAAACCAGTCCGTGACCAGGGTTGGAGCTTTACTACTACTGCCAGAGGTGGCACACGAGTGGCCGACCCTACTGACTGTGATCATGCAAGCAAGTCAGCTGAGGTACTTGGCAGTTGGTGAAGATCATCCGACGGTCATTTCATTTGACATGGATCTCTACGAAAAGGTGGTGCAACTGCTAGATGCCAGGCCTGACTTGAAGCACACCGTTGTCCCCAGACTGGGCGAACTACACGTCGTCATGGCTGCTCTGCGAGCTCTCGGAGCCCCCATGGAAAACTCCGGCATAGATGATGCCTGGATGGAAGCTGATGTCTATGGTTCTGCCACAACAAGACAAATCCTGAAATGCACACACTACGAGCGTGCTTTCCGTGCCCACATCTATTCATATATAGCACTCTATGAGATGGCACTGGAGGAGTTCTTCACGGACAACCCACAACTGAAAGACATCTGCTTAGAAGCTGCCTGCTCTGAGGGGAACAAATGCACAAAGGCTGAATCCGTGAAACATGTATGCTGCCATGTATTGACAAGGCAAAGTTGATACACCTCCTTGAGAAGCTGGGAACAGCAGAACCACCCGATGAAGATCAGCAGCAGCAGCTGCATGATGCAAGTGTTCTGCAGCGAGGTTTTATTCGGTCCTAGTACTGGGCTGTGCCAATACACTGAATCCCCACTGCTAACTTCTGATCTTTTGCTCTTTTATTACTGGTAGAGGAAACGCATCGGATCTCGTAATTGAGTTTAAACGTCTCTAATCTATACACATTTTCCATTCGCCAGTCTTTTTCTTAACAAGAAGGACCCCTGATCGAACTCGATTGACGGTCTAATTAATCCTGCCTTTAATAAAGCTTAAACCTGGTTGTCTACTTCCTTTTGCTGAGAAATTGACATACGATACGGAGATGTTTTGAACGGTAAATTGGTTCCAGTATCAATTTTCATTTTGTATAATTTTGTACGACTTAACTCGGCATCTGTATGCGCGAACGTTGATCTATGTGCCTTTAAGAATGTTAAGAGTCGTGCTCTGTGTTGCGGATTAGTTAAGTGCTTAACTAATGAATCGTAATCAAATTGTTTCTCTCTTATGCTCATCGTGATTCTGCGTGTTAGCAGGTTTCATATTTCTATCTGCCTGCCGATGCAAGTGGCTATACTCCTTTTGCCTAATTCCATTAATCGACCGACGCTGTGCTCGATCGCCCGTAGTGCGTAGTGGAATCCTACGTTTCCTTAGCACGACAGACTTTCTACTACGCATTGCGAGTGGCTCTACAATCGCTTAAGTTGCCTTACGCGACAAGTGAACGCGTGAAGCTGATGCATTCGCTGACACATACATGCTGACGCAATGTATGCTTCCAATCTTTGTCACCCAATATACAGCTGGTACGACCTGCAGTCCCGGATAACGATGGCAGATCTTGAGTGCT